AAGGATCAAGCGGCTAGGTCGTTCTTTTATGACCATACTCAGGAGGCCAATGGCCAGATGTTACAGCTAAGTGCCTACTCCAACATTATGCACCCGGCGACACCTCATCGGGGTGAATTCTTCGAAGAGAGCATCTCCCATTTGGGTGGTACATTGCTCTATAAACAAAAATACAAGCGGCCTAACAGAGTGTCTAGATTAAGATAACTCAACCGTTTGAAAATTTAAATGAAGCCTTGGCAACTTGTCTCCCGCCTGTTCCAATACAACCAGAGACTATTGATTTGGTTGGATAAAACAGTCTGTTGCTCAACGGCACCACAGACGGCTAATTTAAAGATTTACGCCTAACCTTAGTGGCTAAGTCGCTTCTGTTCAAAGTACCTACACACAGTCTATGCCCGTCTGTCTAACATTGAACTAACTAGCCAAAACTGGTTTACAAGGTGAATCGCAGCCGGTATTTTTCATAATTATCCCGAATGTTTGGTAGACGGATGTCTACTCAGTTTAAAATTCCACAATAATCAACCAAGCATACATCCGTCCAGGGGCAAGTATATCTAGGACATCTGGATGACCGCATGGAGGCAGCTACTTGGCGAAAATTAGTAAAAATGCAACATGCGAAAATTCAACGGAATTATATATTAAAAAAATTAATTAATTAGAAATCAAACTTGTAAAACCGACACAGTCGGCAAATAATCATTAATCAAACCCGACCAGAAGGCCGAGAGCAAATTTTTAACCGGATGCACATCCAGGAGAAAAGAAAGAACATTGTTAGATTACAAAGATACACGCCGAGCAGGCCGGAGAAGGGAATAAAAATAAGAAAGCTTAAGCATGAGGAGGCAGGCAAGGCGCGTCTGTGGCGGCTGGTTTTGAGGCAGGATTCTCCTGATTTTCCGCTTGGTTCTCCTCCTCATCCCCATTAGAGCCCGCATCAGCTTGCATGGCCTCAATCTCCTTCTTTGCCCACTCCTCATACAGCTCAAGCTCCGGCTTGTTCTCCACTTTGGCCAGAATGGCAAGATCTGCATATTTGTAGGCCTGCTCCCAGACGGCGTACTCCGTCTCTGGATGCACAAGGGACTAGGCCATTTTCATGCGGCTTTCACAGTCTTGCTCATTCTCCTCGATGATCCGGCTCTGCTCAGCATGAAGAGTGGTCTCAAAAATTTTGCTGGCAGTAGCCGCCTCCTTCTTTAGGCGTTCATTTTTAGCTTTGAGGGAGAAGTTCTCTTTCTTGGCGCCCTTTAAAGATTCGAGAGCCTCCTCCGCCTTCTTAAGCTCATCTTCAGAATTTTTGTACGCCTCCTGAAGATTGAAGAGTTTGGTGTTGGTCTCATCGAGGGTTTTCTGAAGTCGTTTGATGGAGTCCGCCTGTTGCATGATTTGAATATTAGTTTCAAGTTCGTGCACTATCATGGAATATTGAGCAACGTTATGGGTCTCAAATGCCTCTCTTTTGACCCGTCTTACCTCCTCTTGCTTCCTGGCATAGGCCTTTTTCAGCCCCTCCACGCGCAGCATTGACTGCATGACCACAGCCGGGATTAGAAGTTAGTAAAAAAAAAAGAAAGGAGAGAGGAAATATGAAAACTCATACCTCAGCTAGGCCAGCTAGGACCCGATCGGCGTTAAAGACACCGATCCCTGGGATCGCTTCCTTCTCCTCCGTGGGGATGGCCTTCAACATGGCCCAGGAGTATTGTTGTACGTCCGGCCACCGGGGGGAGAGATCTGCACCAGAAAGAGACGGTGAGAAAGCTACATACGCTCCTCCTATAGATTGTCGACTGCTAGAAGAATCTTCTGGCTGGCTGAAAGTGTGACTTGACCCACATGGGTCTGCTAAGCACTAGAGGGTTGAAGGGATCTGCTGTACCTTGGGACACGATAACTATAGGTGTCTCTACACCCGTAGTTTTGGGAGCCTCAGAGGCATCCGGTTGCCGGGCGGTGAGATCGAATCCCATGCTGGTGTTTTTGACACTCTTGCCTCAACAGTCACGCGACTCGGTGCCGCTTGGGCAGACGTCTTTTGAGACTTGCTGGGGGCAGCAACTTCCCCCCCCCCCCGGCCTTGGCCTAATCAACTTTGTGAGCGATCGAGGCGCCTTGCTTTTATCCTGAGTAAAAATTAAAGTCTTTACAGTCAGCTGGTGTAAATTAATATTGATGAGTGCTCGAAAAGAGTGAGACAGGCGTTTTTACATGGTTTTTAGCCGCCAGGGAAGGTTTCTTCTTTTCCGCATTTTCTTTGCGGATGTCTGCGGCGGATCTTGCGGGGGTTTTGCTTTCTAGAAACATCCTTAAAGCGTTCACTGCAAAAAGAAACCGTCTGATTAGACCATTATGCCAAAATTTCACAAGTAAAAGTGACAAAGGCGGCATAAAATGTGCCGGATGCATTCGAGGCATACATTTCTTGAACTGAGTGCTCAGTCCGTAAGCGGACAAGAAGGCCTTATCCCTCATAAATTCGTGTTTGGGTACCCAATTCTTGGGTATGCTTATTAATTCACCGGATGAGAGGGAGGTGGTAGTTAGTTCAAAGAACCCCGCCTCTATTATTCTCTCATAGTCCTCATCCGGGACTTGGGGCAACTTGCACTTTTGCCTTAGCAGGCTCGGCTTTCGGTTGTAGATCCGGAGCTCGGAGTTCTCTTGCTTTGTGGGGGCCGAGACCAGATAGAAGCGATTTTTCCAATCTGGCCACTTAGACAGCTTGTCTAAGGTCATCAGAGTATACCATGCCCTCCACCCGCCTGGACTTCGGCTTAAGTAATGCATGTGGGCAAAGGCCTCCCAACCGGGATGGAGGCTCTGCATTTCGCAGGCAGCGATGTAGCCTAAGATGTTAACCTAAGAGTTGGGGGTTAACTGCCACACGCCTAGGCCATACTCTCTTAGGATGACCTTTATTGTGTTGTGTAGAGGGAAGCGGAGACCAGCTAGAAAGGTCGCCTCATAGCAGCCAAAATATCCGTTTGCATTGTGCTGGTTGTCTTCCCAAGCTATGGTGGTCAGCTCAGGCGGTACCCGGATGGTATAGCTCGGTCCTAAAGGCCGTTTGTGGATAAAGGTTGCCAGATGCTTCTCCATGTTGGCCCTGTCTCTGGCTGAGACCTGAATTCGGAGGGGATCACCCCTATTATTCCAGGTGGGCCTTTCCTCTTCCTCGCTCACTACAACCGGTGTAAGATAGCTGCTGCTGTTTTGCTTAGACCGTGATCTAGAGGCGGCCTCACTACTGTCTCCCTGATTGGAGGGCTCTCTCTTCTCGGCTTCGGAGATAGAGGCGACATCTTCACCGCCTCCGCTATCAGACTCCAGAATTCCATCGCTGGGGGTGCTTGGGGTACCTCTCGGAGATCCCCTTGTCATCTCAGCCTGATCCATCTCAGGCGGACCTTCTTTGGAGCTTTCCCCTCTATACTCCGGGTCTACAACCGTCTTTTTAGTTCTAGCCATAGTGTCCTGCACAGACACGAAGATGGTCGGATTGGGAGATTGACAAGGGGAATTCTAGTACCCAGAGGAGGCTCCCTCAGTCCTAGACTCAGCCGTACCAAGGGACCGGTTGCCCTCTACATCGTGGTGTGCCGTGTGTGTATTTGGTGAATCCATTTACTTTTATAAAAGAAAAAGAAGATAAGGCACAAACGAAAATGCATGAAAGAACTGAGGGAGGTAGAGACGATACCTCAAAAGTAAGCTGAAAGAAGCAAAATGTTGACCGGCTGAAGTAGCAGGTAGAAATTAGATGATGGTTTGCAAGGGGCACAGGCGCTTGACCGGATGTACCCTCTCTGAAAGTAGCTGAATTTGCTAGGCTGTACTCAAGCGGTTAGTGAAGCTTGAGTTAAGTGATGCACATACGGTATACCCGTATGTGCTTTTGGAATAATGAAGAGATTGCTTGCAAACCCCTCAGGCGGTTTCTAAGAAGCTGTGCTGTCTGCCAAATCACAGACGTATTACCGGATGTGATTAAATGTGAGAGCAGACGGGTTTTTCACTCTAATTCTCTCTAGAAGCCAGCTGAGTCTCTCTCTTTCTGAACTTTGGAAAATGACGAAATGAGGGGGGGGGTGAACGACTATATAAAGGAGGGTGATGCGAAGGGTCACCAAGGTAAACTATCCTAGAAGGCGAACGGTTATTGCCATTAGCCAATGATTGAGTGACAAGTGTCACAAATGCCACGTGGCCTGCTATGTCACATTTGTGAGGGGCAAATGATTAGGGTAAAAATACCCTATGCCACGTGGCCCAATCCGAGCGCGACACGTGGCATCTTCAGAGTGGTTCATGAGGACCAATCTCCTCTGGACACGTGGCACATGCTTTAAGATCCTATAAATAGGGAGATGTTTCCCTATTGGAAACCATTCACAATAATACTATCCAACTGAGCACATTAAGTGTAGATCATTTACTCTCACTCTCACTCTCGTAATTCGAGAAGAGCATTTACTTCTACATTTATTACAGACTTCATCCCGGTTCTAACTTGATTCGTTGGAGGCGGAACTCCCCCATCCAGAGTCTCCGTTGTTTTGCAAGTTTAGACGTCCGGACTCCAGTCTTGGTGTTGTAACTCTCCCGAAGGACACAGAAAACCCCAAAACAAAAATGGTTGATTGTATTATTGATGATGCGGTTAATGTTGTTAATTTAGTCCTTTCAGATGGCATGGGTTGATGATGGAAGTTTTTAGAGCCAATTGGAGAAGAAGACCCCATAAAAATTAGGAAAAAAAGGCGTGAGTTTATTTTCTTGGTATAGGATTGGGATTGATATAAATATTTATTTATTTTTTTCTTTTTTCTGACGAAAAAAATTATTTTGTTGAATACACATGACTAAAGGATTGGGATTAAAGAGATGAATGATTGATTTTATTTTTTATTTAAAAAAATTATTTTAAAATAGGAAAAATAGAAAAAGGATAAGTGTCCTTTCAACTTCCTATTTTAAAATAATTTATTGATGTATCAATTTTCGAAAAACAAGAGAGAAAGGGAGTAAAAAATTGAACTTCTCATCCTCATAGTGTCACTCTGCATCTTGAAAACTTCCACTCGCAAAGTCCACTCGAAAAGCATGAATAGTTCCAAACCACTAGACTCCATCCCACCAACCGACTCAGTAGAAATCACAAACGGCCTCACTCTCACTCCTCGAATCAAACTCCGCCTCACAATCCACCACGCCGACGCCAGCGTTTCACCCTTAGACGAATGGAAGCTAAAGCGATCCCTCATCAACTTCCTCAAATCCTCCTTTTCTATCCCTATCACTATCCCCGAAGAAGACCTCATTGTTCGCCGCTTCAAAGACCTCAAGAAGCGTAAGCGCGAAGACGCCGTTGCTGTTGCATCCCTTTTTATTCGTGATTTAGGGTTTATTGTTTCCGCCGCTGAGAAGATCAAGGGTTTTGATGGAGGTGATGGCGGGTTGGAGGAAGTGTTAGAAAAGAAGTTTCTGGAATGGCGGATTGTTTTGGTAGAGAAGATGGATGGTATGGAGGTTAATTTGGAAGGGGTTAAGTTTAGGGTTAGTGTTAATTTGCCGGTTTCGGATGATTTTGAGAAGATGAAAAAGGAGTGGCAGGAGTTCTATGCTTTTGGACCAGGTTTGTTTATTGATCACTCTTTTTTTTTTTTTTTTTACTATCTTTGTTTCTTATTATTTTCAACAAAGGGTGTTATTTGTAAGTCGTAAAAATCATTTGTTTCGACTGACAAGAAAGGGAGGGTTTATATTTGTTTGAGTTAAATTGTTTAATTTTAGTGGTTTCAATGCTAAAAATTTGTGTGAAGTTGGTGAATATTTAGTTCTCTGAAGAAAGTATTTTTATTTGGTTTATGTGGGAAATATTGTTGATTGAAGGATTTTATGTGGGAAATGTTGTTGATTTTACCTAGTAATTCTTCAGCTGCTTGAATTTTGAAAATTGTTAGTAAGTTCCTTGATTGATGAATAGGGATAGTTTAATTACGAATATGCAATGTATGAACAGGACTGTCTAAAATAATGGAGGCCCTGTGCTAATTTTGTCAAATGAAACCAAGAAAAAATGAAAAAGGCACAATTTTATTACAAAATGATTCCTATTATTTTGAGCTAAGCAAGTTACATACAAACCAAATAATAAACCATTGAGGTACCCAAACTACAAGAAGCATGAATTTACTCACAAAGAAAATCTTAGTTTTATAAAGTGCAACTTAGGCGCGCCTAGGCGCAAGGCATAGTGAGGCTTGAGAGTTGGCGCCTTAGCTCTTTGAGGCTCAAAGACCTACCAAAGGTGTGCACCTTTGTGCTTTTTTCTAGGTTGCTTCTTGCGCCTTATTTTGCGCTTTATGTTTTAAAGCATCAATAGTTATAGTGTAACTTTATTTTCCCTGAACTATACCATGAGACTTTGTTATGGACAGGTTTTCTTCGATTCTAGTGAAGAGAGAAATCCCATATCCTATAATTCGATTTGAAGAACCCTTGTTATTGATCACATGGCCCTTTCACCTTTTCTCATAATTTCATTTTTACACTTATTCAATAGAAATTATTATTTCTTTTCTATATGAATAAAGTGCGCCTCACCTACAAAAGGCACGCGCCTTCGCCTTGCGCCTAGGCTCCAAGGGCTTTTAGCGCCTTGCGCCCTTTAAAACTAAGAAGAAAATGCACAACTCTCCAAACTCATACAAAGTATAAAAACTATTTGCTCAGTACTTGAAGCCACCAACTCTGTTAATTTGTTGATTGATTCCCATTATGTCAATTTTCAGTTGAAGGGAACTTTTTTTTTTAATTTGAATTTTTCTTTTCTCATGTTCTGAAAATTGAAAGAAATAACAGTATTTGAGACATTTCAAAAAGAATGGAAAATGGAGATATTGATTGTTATATAACTTTTTTGACATCTTATTAAGAAAAGAACACTGAATCTACTGGCTTAACTTGGCTAAAATAATGCGTATTAATAATATGTATTACATTATAAATCCTTTCATTGATGTGAAAGAAAAGTAAACTATGAAGCTAGAACATTTGTTTAATATCACCGAAAAAGGTGGTAGTAATCATTAATTGGATGAAGCTTCAAGGGTAGGAGTCTAGGATAGACAATATGTGATGCTTTGGGGAGTGGTTTATGTATTGGTAATATTGCAATCAACAGCAGGAGGAAAGTTGATGACTTTGAACTTATCTATTAAAAAAAATAAAAAATAAAAATACTTGTAGTATATGATCATGGGACGTGGCAATATTGACCAAAAGCTGTACATCATACTATGTTATTAAGACAATCGCCGATAATAATAAATTTTAACATATTAAATACTCCCTCTGTTTTTTTTTTTTATAATGCATCACTTTCTTTTTTTATGGGTGAAATGCATCACTTTTATATTTGGTAACTTTATAGTATATTTTATCATTTCTCTCTTATTTTAAACCCCACTTAAATTATTTTATCATTTCTCTCTCCCCCATGGTCCCCACTTATATAATAAAATAATCTACTCTCCCTAACATACTTTCTCTTTCATGACCCCCATCTTACTTTTACTATAATAAATTATTCACCCACTTACAATATTATATCACTTTCCTAAAACTCCGCGCATTACTAAGTGATGCATCTAAAAAAAACGGAGGGAGTACTTCCTCCATGTTTTCATTGTGTAATGAACTGACTTAGGGGAGGGTATTATGGGTAGTTTAGTATGTTAGTAGTTATTAAATGTAGTATGGGCAATTTGGGAAGTCTAGTATTATTAGGTTAGTAGTTTGTAACCTTAGTATAAATAGAGAGAGGGAAGAAAGAAGAAGGCAGGCAGAATTTGGTGTGAACCTATTGGAGAGTCATGGCCTAAAGCCATTTGGAGAGTTGTGAACTAAACTCACTATTGAAGATTGATAGCCTTAAGCTATTAAACCTATCTTTTGTAAACCTTTGCCATTTTCAATCAATATTCAAGCTTTAATCTTTATTTACTAGCCATATTAAATCAGAATTATAAACCCAGAAAATCAGTTTATCACTCTTGGTGTCAGAGCAGTTCTGTTCTGGGAAGTCAGGCTACTGATTTTTGTTGTTCCTTTAAAAAAAAAAATGCTGGTCGCCGGAGAGTGTGCTGCACAGCAAATGCAGAGATGGATCCAAGAGGAGTTTGCATACATCTCACGCAAAAGAGACATTCGCATCTCAGATCCCAGTGAAGAACGAAACATCCGGCAAGAGCTTCATATTCACTAATTCAATTGAAGAAACTTAGATGACTGGATCTTCCAAATGGAGGATTACTTTCATTTTTTTCAATTGAAAGGGGAGAAGTTGAAGGCTGCCATCATTGGGCTTAGTGGCGAAGCTTTGCAGTGGTTTGAATGTGAACACAGGCGGCTACCAATACGTGAGTGGCAGGTTCTGAAGGTAGTGTTGGTGTGTTGTTTCGGTTCGTCATCTATAATGTCCTAGCAGGAGCAACCAACTCCAGTTCTGACCGGAGAGGAAACGAAGGTGTCATCTCAGATATTCTCAAAGGAGGTAGAGGAAATCATGAAGAGAATCATCAGAAATGTTCAAAGAAATTTGGACAAAATCACTAACAAAGCCTGTTCTCCAATGAAGATGAAGGAAGAAGACTATCAAGCAAAATTGGAAGATGAAATTGAAAAAGCAGATAATGAAGAGGAGGAGCAGGTACACCCTATATTGGAAGATGATAAGGGATTTGTAGGGGGTGTAACTGTTGGTAGTTCGGAAAACCTTGACGGGGGTTTTAGAGGAGTCAAATCTAGTGGAAGGCTTGGTGATTTCAGAGATGGATTTACCGGTGGGGGTCAAGGTGGCTTTGCCGGCACGTCTGGTGGTAGATTGCACGAATGTTCAGGTGGGTTTGTATGTGAGTATATCGGTGTTAGAGGTTTTGGTGGTGGGTTGACCACTTTTGAAGGTGATTTTACAGGTGGTTTTTGTGGGGCAAGGCAGAATTTTACAGGTGGTTTGTATGGCTGGCAACACAAACTGCAGTGGCAGAATTTTCGTGAGGGGCGGTGCCGGAGGTAGTGGGTCTGGTGGTGGTCCGAGTAGTTGGTGCGCCGAAGAGATAGGTGGCGAAGGGTGCAGTCGTGACAGAAGAGGCGTTGGTTGTGATGGTTTTATTAAAAGTCGTGTGGAGCCAATTGACAGGAAGCTTCATTACTAAGTGATACCAAGATGATGTGATTATCGATCCAAAAATCAACAAACACAAGGATAAGTGTTTAAGCGTAATTCTATACAGGAAATCCACCAAGAATTAAACCAAAACCAAGAGTAATTAACTAAGAATCCACCTAATTAACTAGCTCTATACGAATGTTTTAACTAAAACAAACTAAAACAACAATTGATCGCAATCAATTAAAGAAAGTGTTAACTTCAATTCTGAAATTTGCATGTGTGTACAGCCCTATTTATAAGTTTAATTAATCTAGAAAGATTAGGACAAATCCCTAATTCAATCCTAAATCAAATTCTATCTGTCCTAGAATTCTATTGCAAGTAGAATACTAGTTTAGCTTGGAAATCAAGCTACACGGTTTTAGCAACTCTAACAACTTTCCTTAATTAAATCCACATGCCCAAAATCAGTTATAACTAACTAAAAAAATATCTTAACAACTTAACTAAAATAACTTTTAAAGAATCCTAATGCTTAAACCAAGAAAAACCCTTTCAAGTGAAAGGTAAAAACTTGTAAGCAAAATCTAAGTAAACTAATCAAAGAAATAATCTAAATACAAGAAAAGCTACTAAACAAACCGTAGCTTTGCTTTGATATCCAAGAAAGTGTGCGTTGCTTGCTAGGCTTGCATCAATGTTTAGGGACAAACTTTCCTTATGCATAAATTAGTAAATCTTGAAAGTTCTCCATGTTTGTATTCGTATCAGGTATTCTAGACAATAGCTTAAAATATGACGTCAGCATTAATAGGTACAGTGCTCTTTTTTCAGTAAAAGTGAAGTCGAATGTTGGTTCTCCACCATCAATTTTAAAACCAAGTACTCCCTACACTCAACCCAGCCCAATTTCAAGTAAGCCCAATCTTCCACTACAATTTACACCTCCTAATTACAACTCTAATCCAAAAGGAGACAACCCAATCACAAATGAAAATCTTTAGCCCATTTTATATCATCTAATTTCTCAGCCTACACCCTCCATGAAACCCGTCCAGCCCCATTTGTCAACTCCTACACTCATTGCTCCATCAATGTTCAAGCACAACCTTCTCAATCAGTCTTCCAAGCTCATGTCTAACTTCACACAATCAAGATCAATTCCTCCAAGCCAACATCTACAACCTGTATTATACTCCTTGACAGCTCCTTGCAACATCCAGGAACACTTCATCACAGCTTTGCCAGCAGGGGAAGTAAGAGGCCTTACCAACGAGGCATTGGAAAGACAATGGAAGCTAGGCATCTGTTGCAAGAATGTCATTGTTTTTATCTGCCAAGGCTGGGAACCAAGCTTTAGTTACTGTCAACAACCAAAGTCCACTTACTACTATTCTACAAGTAACTCCCAAGGCTATGACACAACACAATCTCACTCTGAGTTATCTAATAGCTCCCAAGATTATCTCACACTTCTTTCTTCACTAGAGACATTTAGAGAATTCACCACCGAGGAGCTCGATAGGTTGTGGAAGCCGGGCATCAAGGATGAGAGTGACCATCTTTGTCGAGGCCGAATACTAAGTGCTGATTTTAAACCACCTTGAGGACAAGGTGGAACTTTAGGGGGCCGGTATTGTAATGAACTGACTTAAGGGAGGGTATTATGGGTAATTTAGTATGTTAGTAGTTATCAAATGTAGTATGGGCAATTTGGGAAGTCTAGTATTATTAGGTTAGTAGTTTGTAACCTTAGTATAAATAGAGAGGGAAGAAAGAAGAAGGCAGGCAGAATTTGGTGTGAACCTATTGGAGAGTCATGGCCTAAAGCCATTTGGAGAGTTATGAACTAAACTCACTATTGAAGATTGATAACCTTAAGCTATTAAACCTATCTTTTGTAAACCTTTGCCATTTTCAATCGATATTCAAGCTTTAATCTTTATTTACTAGCCATATTAAATCAGAATTATAAACCCAGAAAATCAGTTCATCACAAATTGCACCACTTGGGTTGGATACAAAGGTTAAGAAAGGAATTAAGTAACAAAAATGCCCATGTAGCACAAACAAAGGAAAGTAAATAAAAGTGAGGTAACAAGGGTAAATATTTGAGTAAGGGTAAGATGGGTTTTTGGTGTGTGAACACAAACAAAAAGTGTATGGAGCATACTTAAAATAACTATGGTGCAATTAATTTGCACTTCCTAAAAAGGAAAATGGTGTAAATTTTTTATTTATTTTTTATTTTAAAAAAAGAAGTATGTACTAAAACTCAGGCCCATTTATTTTGTGGGGCCCTGTGCTGTGGTTATTCTTGAACCTGCATACTTTGAAATTACTACAATGCCATCTAAAAGTGTTTTATTTACTGGTTTTGGGGGAACAGATTTGCTAATCTTTATAGCCTGTTATAGGAGTTAGGATGAGGTTTATAATTCTAATGAAGAAAATGGTAATCCTTTGAAAAAAAGTGCTCATTGTAATTCATGGATAAACCATTAGGGTCGATATTGAAGTTGCGTTCCTAACTTTTGTTCAGCGCCACAGTGAAAGTGCAATTTTTCACGTATGTAATTTTTTTGATTAGAATTTTATTCATCAGTTGCCAATAATTGTAAGTTATGGATGGCAGGGAGTTATTCAAGGGGAGGAAAGAAGGAGCCAGATACAATTATACTGAGAGGTTTGCCATCACGATGGTTTGCAGAGCCACGTGTGTCATCTAAACCGTCAATGCTAGTTACACATGCCATTTTTTCCACCTTTGGGAAAATAAGGTTTGAAGTTAACCTTATTATGATATTCTACTTAGTTTTATTTGTCTCTTTGTCATATATTGACTTGAAGCCTTTTTTTTTTTTTTTTTTTTTTTTTTTTGTTAGCTGCATAAATTATAGTGACTTTAGATTTTTGTATCCATAGACACCTAAAAACGTCTACCCAACCGAAACCCGATAATGAGGAAAACCTTTCATTGCCATTTGGTTCGTATAGAGTGTTGAAATAAAGGAGTACTTAATCTTATTTCTAAATCCATTTCAGTTTACTTTTCTAGTCCAAATTTAATTCTATTTCAAGCCCAAACTATTTATTTAATTCTTCTTAAAGCCCAATTTCAAATTTGTCCAAATTGCAAAATAATCCGAATCTGAAACAAACTTCTAGAATTCCTAAACGCGTACAAAAACCGATTTAAACAAATAAATTTCTAAATCAGAATGTGCAAAAGGATGAATATTAGAATTTCAGGTTTTCACGTTCATGATAAAATACCGTGTCGCGCTAGATCTGGCACCACGCTACACTATTGTCGCTCAGCGGTAGTTCATCACGCCAAATCTGGCGCGACGGTTTTGTTCTTTTGACGATACAATTTTTTTATCTTTTCCTGTTTCATTCCTATATATACCCTAGCCTTTTGAGGATTACGGGCATCGTAATATGTTGATATTCTCTCCAATTCTCCTTTCTTTTTAATCTTTTGTCTCCCTAATCTTTCACAATTCCTCCTTTTAGCGCTCCTAGACATCAATATTTCACCCGAAGCTCTATAGGCGGTCCACGACTTGAAAGGTTTATCATAAACCCCGAGAGAATTATCGGCTAGGAAAACTGTAGTATAAGTTGAAATGTAGATACCAAATACTAGGATGAATAATTTCTTGCTTAGCCAGGAGGAAAATTTAGCGTATATAGGAGATTTATGTAGTATACATTCGTTAAAAATAAAATGTAGTACTTTTTTAGGAGCCTCTATGTATCATAGCGTTAGATATGATTCTTAGTCATTAGTAACTAATTTCAATATTATATGTAAAAATAATAGCATGTCTAGACGTAGAAATTGAGATGCTAGTTTACGCGCTGCTTCGGCGCCGAAAGAGGATTAGAGGGCTCCACGTTTCTCACACAGGAGATTGTGGCTTCCGCCTCCTTGGGAGTCTAGTTAGTTGGTATTCTGTTATGATAACCATGTTTCTCATCGGCCTGCCGTTAGGCGGGTCACCATGGTTCGTTGCTTTATGGATAGATTCTTCCTTGTTTGTACAATTGGATGATAGCTGATGAGAAGACTCGTGTGCTTTGGGAGTCCTGTAGGTTCTCAGAGTATTTTTGGGATACTATTAACACGTTTCACTTTCCTTGGGGTGAGATAAATATCACTCCTTTAGATTTTTCGATGATCACCAGACTATTCTTTATTGTGCTGCCCGTGGTTCAGGAGGATCTGATGACACATCGTTAGAGGTGTTAGAATTGCTCGGCCAATAGTGGTTGTTTGCGAGAGGATGAAAACCCCCTCGTGTGGTACTTCTGCGATCGCTTAGTGGCCGGTTTTGATGATCCAGACACTACACCTGATTGTCCTTTCTCTTTCCAGGGAAATATGAGGTATTTGCAATCAGTGCACATGGTAGCCAAGACCGGCCCAATTATACGGTATGCTCGCTGTCTAGATCATCAAAACTGGCCGCTCGCTAAGCAAGCCGCAGAAGTACCGAAAGAGGGTTTGACATCCTCTCGCAAATTAACCACTACTAGGCCGAGCAATTCTAATACCTCTGGCGATCGATGACAGTCTATCTTAGGATCCTGAATCACGGGCCGCAAAGTAAAAAGAAGTCCGGTGTTCATTAAAAAATCTAAAAGAGTGATGGTCATCTCACCCCAAAGGAAGTAACACGTGTTAGTAGTATCTCAAAAGTACTTTAACAACGCTTGAACTACCAATGCCCCACTATTGAAACCCGTGACGCCCTTCCAAGTGTTTGTCTAACCTATAACACTCCCTAAGCACACGAGTCTCATTATCAGCTATCACTGGATTGTATGAACAAGGAAGAATCTTTAAACCACATGAACCATGGTGACGAAGAAAGTTATCGATCTGCCTAACGGCTGATCGATGAGAAACATATTTTTCTCTACCCGACTAGACTCTAAAGGAGGCGAAAGCCATGATCTCCTTCTCGAGGAACGTGCTACTCCTCTTCCTTGATCTCGGTGCCGAAGGAGTATCCTCCTTCGAGCTCTCCTCTCAGGGCGTGAACTAGCATCTCGATCTCTACGTCTAGGTATGTTATTATTTTTACAAAAAATTATCAAAATTAGTTACTAATGACTAATTGGGTTCTAGTCAAGTATCTAATCCTATGATACATAGGGGGCTCCTAAAAAAGTACTACATTTTATTTCCGATGAATGTATACTACATAATTCTCTTGTATATGCTAAATTTTCCTTTTGGCAAATTTGCAGAAAATTATTCATCCTAGTATTTGGTTTCTACATTTCAACGTGTATTATAGTTTCATACATCCCAAGCTTGTTGGAAATTTTATTTGGACTTACATTCGGAGAAAGTCATTAGAAATGTTTATATGGTTCTTGTTATCCATTCTTTCGTATGATCCTGATGTAATGCTTTTATAAGTTGGGCAAAGCTACTGCTTAGTGTTTTAAAAAACTGCTTAGCTACTTAGGTATCTTCCCATTGCCATTCTTGGTTTTATGTGCAAGACATCAAATTGACTTTCTGTTTCGGTAACAATTTGTAGCTGATAGTTGCCTGCCAAGTTATGTTACTCATCTTGTTTTGCTATGATGATTAGGTGGAGGTCTATGTAAGTCTTATGGTCTATCATTTTTGTAGTGTGGTCCATAATCGAGTGCCACTGTCCCCTTCTAAGTAGGGTCTAATTAAAGACCATACTTGGCAAGGGGAAAACTTTGCTGTTGCTGTTGCATCACATGCATGAAGCTACCTTCAAAAAGGTGCTTCCTTCACTCCCTTTGTCTTCAAGCTACCTTCTTGCATCCCTGGCAGTTATGCTCTTTGTTTACTCATGTAGGTATAGATCAGGTCAAAAGCTATCTATCATATTCTAGATAGCTCTATCTTGTCTTAAGATTAATTTATTTGTTGGCTAATTTTGATGAAGGCCCAACTGGTTTCCATGGGTTACACCTTGTCAACTAATATAACATGGCCCTACTGCCTAGCATAGCTAGTTCAGACACTCAACTTTTAGGGATTGACACAGATCAGTTTAGCTTAACTTACCTTGGTACTAAGGTGGTTGATCCCTTGAGATTAGCTTATTGAGGCCTTAATTAGTAGCTAGAGACTACGCAGTAAGTTACCCTATAGTGAGGGCTTCCCATCCTTGGTCATAATTGACCTAACTATAATTAAGCTCGCTGTAGTTTACGCTCACTGATCAGTGGACTTAGTTGAGCTATAAGCCAAGTAACTTGGCTTAGGGAATAAGGATAACCTGGCCTGCATTACTTACATTTTTTCTGCTACTTAAGGTTCACTGATCAGTGGAATTAGCTGAGCTACAAGCCAAGCAACTTGGCTTAGAAAATAAAGATAACCTGGCCTGTGTAACTAACATTTCCTTGAAGGCCCAATCCTACTGTAGCTCGTTGTGCGTCCAGTAATTACATTGAGTCTTATTTGGAGGATTTGGTATTGCTAAGCTTCTTTGATCATTGTGTTCAATGACCATAATAGTGCTACTTAATTCTGGTCAATCTTGTGACTGAGAAATACATAATTGCTTACAATTTTATTGATCTCCAAGCTCATTGTTAATAGGAATCTTAATGTTGCTGAGGACAATGATCCAGGTACGGATACCGATGCAGATGATGAAGATCTAATTTCAGGTTTACAGTGCAAAGTCGTCGTTCAATTTGATCAATACAAGGAATTTTACAATGCATTAAAGGTTTTATGCAGTCGTTCATTGAAAAAGGTAAAGTTTTAAGCTTTTCTACATCTCTTTCATGCTTTTTTTTCAAATCTGCCTTTATCTCTTCATTAAAGATCATGTGTTGAAGTCTTTGGTAGTATACTGTTATTTAGCTGAAGGAATCTTTATGACCGAGCAAATTCTTATTGGACCATTTTTCACTATAGTTGTTAGTAATAATGAAAGAGATCCTGCAGTTGAGATTTGAAAGCACCATAGGGCTCTTACTTCAACTCCTCAAGGAGTAGGAGACCTATGATCATCCTCCTTTGTGCAAGGGGCTTTTCGATGAGATATATATACTTATCATATCAGAATATTTTGCAGCTGAAAATGATGTATATCCATGAGTTTCATATATTTACTGTGAGCTACAATTTTGTTAGTATGGGTTATTGGGTTATGAGTAGTAATACTTTTCAAAGGTTTTTTTTAGCTGAGCTTAGGTTTACACTTATAAAAGACCATTAAAGGTCTTGTTGTGCTTGCTGGGTATTACAAAACTTCTTGATTCATGGTAACATTCTGATGCATTGTTTAGTCTATAAAGGACTTCTATCAGGGAGGACAGGAGAACCGAAGGGCTAAAAGTAAACCTTCATTATATAATAGCAGTATAGGACTGCACCACAAACAAGCCAGGGGTATGCATAATCCTTAGATTCCCTAGAATCCCTACTGTGATGGGATTAATGTTATGTGCTTTGGGATCTAAATCATCTAATACTCACAAGAAACCAGCAAAGGCCTTCTTTATAGCCAATAGTATTTTGCACGTCATCATTGGGCTAATTTCTAGTTTGAACAGTCAATGTGCTGATTTCAATAGAGAGTAACTTACACTAATCTGATGGCTCTCAATAGTATTTCCAGTTTTTGGCCAACATTTTCAGTCAGTAAATTAGTTGTAGCAGTGTAAATTGATGATTGCCTACTCACTGAACACCTGTCGTGGAGTTTGCAGATGCTCATTGTCAAATCTACTAATTTCTTTTCTGGTTGACTCATGAATTGGAATTCCTATGTAGTTTAAATTTATATGAATTGTAATATCTTTAACTCTATGTTTAGATAGGAATATATGGAGGGAAGGGAAAGTGATGGATATAATTTACCTTATTTGGATAAGATATAGGGCAAGGGAAAGGAAAGGAAAGGAAATGGAGGGATTAATTTCTTTTCCCTTTTGATAAACCAAATCCCTCTATTGTTGGAGAGGTTTGGAAGGAAAATGGAAGGTCAATCTCTCCTTCCCTTAATTATAGTCATCCAAGCATAGTGTAGTGAACTTTCTTACGCTGTCTGAATGCCAACAGATTTAGTAATTTCGCACGCATTTTTCTACCCTTTTTCGGTGTTGCTGATTAACTTTTTTAATTTGTTGTAATACGGAAATCCTCTGGAATTTATCTTTCTTATATTGCTTTTATTTATTTTTTCTTTTTGCTAACCAAACAACTCATTGATTTTGTTCTTCTTTGTTTTATGTTTTTGAATGCCAAATGTATTAAGGAAGACAACAATATTTACTTGGGTTTTTGTATGTTAATATAATTGCAAGAAATAGATAGTCTCAAAAGTAAATATCTAGAGAAACCCAATAGTATATTTTTCATGCTTATGGCAAAGTATAGAACTTTACTTGCTAGATGACTAGCAAAAAAAAAAAGAGAGAGGGGGGGGGGGGGGAGGATTTGGAGAAATCAATACACCAAGTTTCATAGTTTGAAGATAAACATTTAATGTCCGTCATAGTAAATGCTAAACAACGATAAATCTAAAAGCGCTTGGAAAAAAAAAGGATGTACTCTTCGTAACTGAAAGTTTAGCTCAATAGATTCTTGTTTGGTGGAAAGTTGGGAAACAGTAATGGAAAGTAATAAAAATGTAGATAAAGTAAGAGTTACAAAGTACTAGTGTGGTTAGGATTCTTAGGAAGGTGGATAAAGTGTCTAAGAGAGTGAATTGAAAGGTAGAAAAATGTAGATAAAGTAAGAGTTACAAAGTACTAGTGTGGTTAGGAAGGTGGATAAAGTGTCCAAGAGAGTGAATTGAAGGTCTAAATATAGTGAGGTAAGGGGCTAAGGTGGTATTATGAAGTTGCCAAATATAGAATAAAGTAAGAGTGTCAAACTTTTTGAAACACTCCAAAATTGGAAAGTGAGTCGAATTTTCAGGGATGGAGGGAATAATTATATTATGCTTGTGCCCCGACTTTCTCAAACACATGTTATTGGTAAGTTGGAGTACATATATAGGTTATATGTGTTACTCATGAGATGAGTGTTTCATGTATGTGTTACATGAGAGTCACTTATAAATGGATAAAAGTATGTGAAATATAAATTAAGAGTGCAATAGTTTATCTGTGTATTAATTGTGATGAATGTCTTCATATTTATAATAATGTTGTGTTTATATGTATAATTGGGTTGACTACATATATACAGTTACCTTCCTCTTCCTTTTACAACCACCAGGACAGCCCTCTACCCTTTTTCCACCACAAGTGGCCTGGAGTTTGGATCATGATGCTAGTTATTGTGAAAAGGGGGAGGTATGCTGATGGTGATGTAGCCTTGAGCGGGAGGGGGAGGGGGAGGGACCATGGTGGTGGTAGGGGATGGGGTACTAATGGAAAAATAGATTAATGGGGGGTTAAGGCCGTAAGGGTGTGATGTGTAAAATTGTATGGGTACAGATTATAACTTAAGTCTGTCAATAATGGGGAAAGTTTGGCTTTGGGTATAATACCTATAATCCTGCTGGAACTGTTGAGCTAATCTTTAGGAATGTTTTGGAATTAGAAGTTATAGTTAATGGTGCATCTGAAACTATAACTCCAAAGCCAAACTAATCAAAATTATGGTTCAATAGTACTCCCTCCGTCCTTTTATTAAAGACCCGTATTCCTATTTTGGCAAATCAAAATTAAAGACCTATTTCTATTTTAAGGTTGTACTATTTGAGAATATTTTTTACTTTTTGATGAGTTGCCATCACTTTTTTATTCTAATGACTTTTTACATCAATTTCCAACACTTTCTCTCTCCCTCTCTTCAATTATTCCCAACCCCCTTTTTTTTTTTCTCTCTATCACTCTCTAATCCCACATGCACTTATGTACACCAACTTTCTTAATTTTCGTGAAAAAACCCAAATAGGTCTTTAATAAAGAGACGGAGGGAGTAGGAATTAATGTATTTAGGAGTGTTTTGGAGATAATACCTATACTCAGGGATGATTTTAGGTTAAAAGAATTCCTTTTATATTTACAACAATAATCCAGGAAAGTCTACTTCCAGTCTCCCACTCCACTATTGTTAATATTTTATTCATTTAAAAAAGTAGGCTAATAAGGAGTAGGAATAGACGCTCCCAAATTATTCTTGCTATTATTGCTCTTATGATTGAACTCATCCTCTTAACCATTTTATTATTTGGCATACAATTATAACAGAGACTTTATTTCAACAAATACTAGTAAATAAAAAAAAGTAAAATAATTATTTCACTTAAAAAAAAAAATATACTTATTTCTTGAGCCATGGGCACATGTTTAGGAGAGGAACTGTGCATATTGTTGATTAAAGTTGAATGACCCAAATATGGGGCTTTTATTTAGAGACGAGGGAGTAATATATTGGAATTTGTGAATTTGGTGAACTAAATCTATGTTTCCTGAATTAGACTTGTCCTGCTGAAACTATACTTATGATTTGAATGGGGCTACAGTTTTTGCTAACCATGAATTTCTGACGCTACATGTTATTGCTTACTTACTTCTAATTTGATACCTGGACTACAATATGCAGGAAGGATCACGCATGAAGGCTGACTGTGAATTAACTTGGGACAAAGATGGATTTTTTCAACATGCAAGGCGTTACACACAAGAGGGAAATAGCCGAATCCCGACAGTTGGGGCTGGGCAATACAGAAATGAAAGACGCTCATCCTACAATTCTCGTCACAGCCCAGATGATGTACGTTCAAAAAGATTTAAATGAATTAATATAGTTAGCAAATTTATACATCTATATCTTCTGGTTACGATCATGGTATGTTTTGATCCATATTGAAAGATTTGCTTGTTTTCAGGAATAAGATCTGTTGAGAAGTTATTGATTAGATTGAATGTTGAATGGATGGAAATTGCACAGGCTTACTTAAACAGGACCGTTTCGGCCATTGTAAGCCTAGTTCAGATGGTCGTCTCTAGTCATCTATTATGATGAGGTGGTTTCTGCTTAAACAACTCACTGATATCCAGGTGCGCAGAACCGCCAGAATGTATTCATCTTTGGAACATACTTTATACATTTTCTTAATACGCTGATTCTTGGCATCAATTTTGGGACTTTCTGAAGAGATCTGAAAGTGTACTATTCCTATTTCCTATTTCCTGGTATTACTTCTGCTATGTATTCAACAAATTTTCTGACCTAATGTTATTAGATTTTTATTGCTTTGATTTGTCTGTATCTGAAACATTTGTACTAATAATTTAAATGTTTTCGTATATTATCAAGCATAACATGTAATTCCTCCATCATGTTAATACCGTTATTTTAAGGGGGTATACCATTATGTCCTACATACTCACTTTTCAATTGCATAATACGGAGTAATTAATCACCTATTTTTGTGCCTAAACACGTTTTCAAAATATATATTATATTATAATACGAGGGAGTACTTATTAATTTAACACATTAACTTTGATGAATTTTCTTAGTAGTAAGGCAGCGAATTGGTGATAAAATATTACCTTCATTCAATTTAGAACCATGATCACTTTATTCAATTCAGAGCCCTTGTAAATGATCTATGATCTAACGACATTTAATAGAATTTCAGCGTTCAAAGTTAGAGAATAAACTCTTGATCTCAATTGAGTCCCTAAGAAAGTTCATGAAAAAGGAAAGAAAAAAAAAAAGGTACTTTTTCACACAAGAAATACCATATTGATAATAACAGTTAATGGTGCATCTGAAGTTATCTGCCAAAACTGAAGCTGTGCATCTGATTATGCTAAATATTCAGTCCTTTGCTCCACAAAATTGGCATAACATTTCCATAAACATCAGTAAAATCGAAGCCAAGATTACGATAACAACCAAGTAGTCATGACATCTCTGCTGCCACTTTAACTCCCTTACTCCCATGTTAACTTTCTCTACTGGATTCTCCTCTTGTGCTTTTTCTACAGCTTGGGTGGTGTTGTTACTCTTCTGTCCAATATCACTCTTTGCCCTGATAATAACCGGCTTTAGCTTGTTATCTGAGTGCGTAAAACAAACCATCAGCTCGTTATCTGTTTCACTTCGTTTTAAGATCTTTTGCTTCTTCTCTTGAACCTTAGCTACTAGTGCCAAGAACTCCTCTCTCCCTCGAGTTGAGAATGGATTCTCCTTGTGTTTCCGAAGCTCTGGTGTCGATTTTCTGTTAGTTTCAGCTTCATGATGGAGTCCACAACTCACACAAACACAAGATTTTTCCATTATGTAACTGATAATTGAGAATCACTCGATTGTATAAAAGACAACTTTATGATATAAATAAGAAGAAAAAAAATAAGAACTTCAAATATGAAGGTATGTACTATGTAGCATGATGAATCTGTGATTAAAGGTGGAATATGGTGTGAATCATCAAAAGTAAATGTTGAATTTGTATAATTTCTACCGACTTTTTTATACATTAAAAACATCATAGTACTAATATGACTTCTTTGGAAGGACTAGAAGAACTCAGGACTCAAGAGGTAATGTTTATCTTACATGTACCAACATGTTCTCATGTATGAAAGATAATTGTTACAAAAGTCAATATTATTAATTGGCCAGGTGATTAGGATAATATGCGAATGTTAGTTACCACAAAGGTTTTCGGCACACCATCTAGAAGTTTTGCAGTCACGTTATAACAGTGGCGGAACCAGAAATTTTATATTAAGGGGATCAAGATCATCTATATATATTTTTAAAATATCAACATAATTTCTAATTTCTCATTGGATAACACATAAAATTTTTACCTTCATCCAAAAATTAATTTACGCTAAAAAGTTTTTTTATTTTTTTTTTATTTTTTTTTTATTTTTTTTTATACAAGTTCAAAAACCATACTAAAAAAAAATTAACTAGAGGTTTGTAGCAACCAGATTCGAGCCCTTGTCACACACTCATAATGCCCTTCCATCGAAAGCAATCCAGCTGATCTACTTACTATGAATTGTTAATTAAACAAACAAAAACATTTTATACCAAATCAAGGGGGTGGCCATGGCCTACCCTAGCCCCCCCCTTGATTCCGCCCCTACGTAATAATTTTCTTTTCAAAAACTCTTACAACTTTTATACTAACTCTTCTTAATGTACTTTTAATGAACTATTCCCTCTGTTGCACAAAAAAAAAAGGGTTTTTCTATATAGTAACCCTGTTAATTTCAATTTTCTACGTTGTGCCCCAACTTATATCACTTTCTACACTGTAACCCTAATATACATTTTGTTTCCATACGGTAACCTTGCCGTTATCCCGTCATAAAAAAATTCCGTTAATGGGGCCCACTCTCCAATTATTAATATTTTTTTATCGATTTGCGCGTTGAAAAAACCTTTCGTTAAAGGTTTTGGGGGCTATTTTAGGTCTTAAGGAACCAAATTGAGCTTAGATTTCACAAAAAAGTAACGTAAATACCTCGTGTTGCTTAATAAAAATGTCTCGATTTACGTGTTCACGTTTTAATAAGCAAAACGAGGCATTTACATTACTTTTGTGAAATCTGAGCTCAATTTGGATCCTAAAGGGCTAAACTAGCCCCCAAAACCATTAATGGAAAGTTTTCCAACGCGCAAATCCATAAAAAAATTAATAATTAGAGAGTAGGCCCCATTAACGGAATTTTTTTAACGGCGGGATAACGACAAGGTTACCCTATGGAAACAAAATGTATATTGGCGTTACAGTGTAGAAAGTCATATAAGTTGGGACACAATGTAGAAAAGTGAAATTAATAGGGTTATTATATAGAAAAACACAAAAAAAAGAACTATTCCTATATGACGTGATGCGTGGGTTTTTTGGATACAGTACAAAGAAAAGGTATGAGTGCTAGGATAACTATCGTCGCATAGAATCTATTGGCAAGGAATGCATATAGGATGGCATTCTTTGTAAATAAATTGAAGTTGTACGGGGACAAGGTGCCAGCTGGTAGAAAAAAAATAATGTGGCAAAGATAGTGAAAACGGGGAAACCAAAATCTAAGCGGGAACCCAAAATTAAGTCTGACAAAGCAACTTTCCTCTTTCTTTCCTCTTTCTTCCCAAAGCAAAGTGTTACTGTTCAATGGAGAATGGAGTGAAATTAAATTGAAGGCATTGAAATCCTTTCCTAGGTGCACTAAAGCCACTGAAATGTCGTAAATTTGACATTGGAAATTGAGGATGAGAACGAGGTTAGCTGACAAACTTGGCGTGAATTTAGCCGAAGCACTTGGTGACGGTGGAGAAGACGGACATGGCTGCGCTAGGGAGCTGCGATTTGATTGTGAAAATGTAAGTTTCGTACATGCATTATTGTAATTATTCAGTTTGAAGGAAGATTTGAATTTAATTTTTAGGGTTTAGTCTTTAAATTGGTATTAATTTTGGAAATGGAAAAGTGTGATGTAGTTGTTTATAGATGGTTAGCAGTTAATTTGTGAATATGAACTACATTTTGACAATGCGAAATCGGTTAGCTGTTGATTTATTGGGAGTTGATTTAGCGGAAGCATTGCGTGAAGGTGGTGAAGAAGGCCATGGTTGCGCAAGGGAGTTGCGGTTTGAAAGTGAGAATTTAAGTGTTCGAAACCCTTATGTAGGTCGTTCTGTTGTGTATGAGGTATTTGTTTGAGTTAACAGTTAGTAATGCATGAATTAGGGGAGTAAACAAAATTGTATTAGCTGATAAGTTAGGGTTTTTTGGTGTCTCTCAATTATTGGTATCGTTTCAATTTATAGTTGTTGTTGATAGTGATTGTGTTAGTGCTTAAATAAGTTAGCATATTGTTTAAATGTAAGTCATTTTTTGAGCAATTGTTGTTAGTATTGTTAGATTGTTGATTGTAACTTGATCAATTGAGGTGAGTGTGGTTAATCTATGTTGTGTATATTGAAATTTGGAGTAGGTTGAAATTAATATTGAGGGTTGTCTATAAATTTTGAAATTGATACTTGGAAAATGGTTGTTCACTGGTATGATGGTTTCTGTAGCCATGAAAATGATGTTATGTATAATGTAGATATTGTACTTTGTTACTTGTGGTGGTGTTGTGTATATGATTGTTTTATGGCTGTGTCATTGTTATAGGGGGTGTTGGCGGTGAGGATGATGTATGTGGTAATGAGGAGGGATTTGAGAGTGAGCATGGGTATGGAGAAGGAGATGAGGAGGAGAATGAATAGGGATCAGAAGATGATGGAGAGGAATGGGGGTCAGATTATGAGGAAGTAGAAGTGGAGGAAGGAGTTGAAGATGAAGGAGTTGAAAATTGAGGGTTATAAATGAGTATTTGAATTGGGTAATTATGAAATGTAGACTCTTTTAGCTAGATGATGAAGATGTTAGGGTTAGGACCCTTTATTATGGTTAGGATCCTTTGTTTTAAATTTGATATGAACTTCAATCCATGCAATTGAGTAAGTAAATGGGTAATTGGTAATGTTAAATTTCCATAATATTTGATATGAATGTAGATTGTTCATTGTTATTTGATAAAATTTGTTGTAGTTGAGTTGATGAAATTTGTTTAATGTATTATAATTGTTTGGGAATGTGTTGGTTTTAGAATGGGAATGGAGTGAAGGATGAGTTGCTGCTAATTGTATGAGTTATTGTCGAAGCTGTTTGTGTGAAAAATTGTACAAAAAAATAAAGCTTTGAACTTGTTGTTTATTGAACCAATTGCTGTTAAAGAAGGTAAAAAAAAGTTTTGTTATGAATTATGTGATCATATATTTTGTTAGGTTTGGTGTTGTTGTGTATGTATTTGGTTATTGGTTGTTTGTTGTAATGTTGTATTTTCAATGAGTCATGGTTGTGTATGTGAATTAGGTGGATGTTGCTGATGGATATGAAGATGGTGGGGGAGGATGATGTATCTGTTTATGAGGAGGGATTAGAGAGTGTGGGATTAGTGAGTGATGATGGATTAAGAGAAGGTGAGGTGTAGGAGGATGAAGAGGGGGAAGGGTTTGAGGTTGAGGATAAGGGGGCAGATTATGAGGAAGATGAAGTTGAGCTTGGTGTTGAAGGGGAATTTAATGGGGCTGGTGCAGAAGGTTCTTCATTCATAACCCCAAAGAAGAACACGATAATGGTGCACACTGTGTTTGGTGTGGAAGAGGAAGTACCACCCCCAAGTTTGGGCATGGTATTTGGGAGTTGGGATGAGTTGGATACCTATTTCTGGAGTTATGCTAGGCAAAAGGGTTTTGGTATAGTGAGGGTTGCTTCTGAGTGGGTAGATGTGAAGAAGGAATTGAAAAAGGGGAAGTGTTGTAAGTAGAGAAGGAATGCTAAGTGGACTTGTGGCTGTTATGGTTACGCTTCAAGAAAGTGTAAACAGGATGCACTTAAGGAAGGGTTGTTGCAAGATGAGGAGACAGTTCAGAAACGAAAGACTAAAAAGTGGGGGTGTCCTGTGGAGTTGTATGCCAGTGTTAATAAGGAAGGGAACTAGGTTGTTCGAAGGCTGAATTTAGAGCACAAAGGTCACATTGTTACTCTGGGAAAGTCAAAGGATGTAGTGATGTACCGGAAGCATGAGTTAATGGTGAAAAACAATCACTTGGTCAAGCAGGTGCATACGGCGAAGAAGTCTAAGGTGAAGGTATCCCAAATGTATAGTTGTTATACTCGGGAGCGTGATGGAGTGGAGGAGATGACATTTACGCAAAGAGACTTGGAGAATGTAGTGGCTTAGAAAACCAGACTTGATCTTACTGAGGGTGATGCAAATGGCATGATAGAGTACTTCAACAAAATGAGTGCCGATAATCAGAATTTTTTCCATCTATGTCGGTTTGGGAAGGACGGGGCATTACAAGATGTTGTGTGGGTAGATGCGAGGAGTAGAGTTGCGTATGAGGAGTTTGGAGATGTTGTGTGTTTTGACAGTACGTATTTGACAAACAAATTTTACCTTCCCTTTGTTTTGTTTATCGGCGTGAACCATCATGGGCAGAGTATTTTGTTTGGGTGTGCATTGATCTCTCGGGAGACGGCGGAGACCTATGAGTGGGTGTTGAGGACTTGGCTACATTGCATGGGGGGTAAAGCTCCTATCTCAATCTTAACGGATCAAGATCCGGCGATTAGAAAAGCTGTAAACTTGATTATGCCTGAGAGTTGCCATAGGTGGTGCATATGGCACATACTTCAGAAGTTTGGGAGGTATGTAGGTAAGCATGAGGACTATGAAGCTGTAAAGGATGAGTTTGAAAATATCATTTATGGTAGTTTAGATGCTGATGAATTTGTAGATCGTTGGGTGGACGCAGTTGATTATTACAAACTAGGAGATAATAGTTGGCTTGAAGGTACTACACTTCCATTTCTTTTTTTTTATTTTTGTTTGTGATTGTTACTGATTTCTGTTAAAATATGTAGAGGCGTAGCTGTCTGTGTGCAGGGGACTGGAAGCTGTTTCAGTTCTGATTTAGAGTAGGAGTAGGTTTAGTGGTAGACTTATGTACCACTGAATGCTTTTTTTTTGAAAGTTTCTTATCTTTGCACATTTCTGAGACAGTGAATGTACCATTCACAGGAGTCCAGGTGTATGAGGTTTGTATGTTTTTAGATAAGCCATAATTGCAATTATTTGAAATGTAGGGTTATATGAGGAAAGGCACATGTGGATCCCAGCGTATTTGAAGCATTTATTCTAGGCCGGGATGAGAATGACCCAATGTTATGAAAGTTTCAATCACTTCTTCAAAGGTTATTTTGACAAGCATACAACGTTGTCTGAATTTGTGCTTCGATACCGCGATGCAATGTAGTTAAGGGTCGAGTCAGAAAGAACTGCGAACTCCAACACACTACGGTACATCAGGCATGTAGCTACCGATTTCCCAGCGGAGGAAGTGTTCCAGAAGTGTTACACGGACGCCAAATTCAAAGAAGTTCAGCGGGAGTGCAAGAGGATGTTGTACGCACGTCGCCTAGATGACTATGAAGTTGGTGAGAATAAAGTTGAGTTTATTATTGAGGACCGAGTGAGGATCAAGCCAAAATATGCAAAGAAAGAATCTATGACTAAGATTCGGAGATGCTACAAGGTGTGCTATGACAGTGATACATGTGAAGCTAGTTGTGAATGTAAACACTTTGAGTTCCATGGAATCATTTGTCGACATATGATCTTTGTGTATGACCATTGCGGTGTTTCCATTGTTCTTGAGAAGTATATTCTACGTCGTTGGAGGAAGGATATTCAAGGAAACACACACGAGTGAAAGTAGCTTACCATGATCCACTTAAAACCGATGAAGCCAGGAAATATCACAAATTGATGGGGATGTATGAACCAATTTTCTCAAAGGCTTCAGCTTGTAAGGAGGGTGTTGAGGCTGTGGCAGAGTTGTTGCAATTGATGGATCTCAGAGTCGATGAAGTGTTGGCAATAGTTGCCAAAAAACAGGAACATGCAGCTAAGGATAATGAAAACGAAGGTGAGGATGATGGCGTTCATTGTGTTGTTCGGACGCCTTCTTCTACGACTTTGAACAAGGGGCATGGTTGTACAATACACTAGCCACACATGCATCTGGGTTGCCAAATACAATCCCTACACCACTTAGTGCCTTTGTGGGGAGTTGTGATAGATCCGTTCCGACAGTGATTAAGGATCCACCGCTTCCCAAGAAGAAGGCTCGTCGTACAACCAATGTGAGGTATCCATCTTGCACAGAGAAAAAGGGAAAAGAAAAGGCTGCTAGGGCAAAAAATGTAGCAAAGAAGCAAGCTACGGCGACACAGAATAGTATGTCATTGTCAACGAATGACTATGTATGATCGGTTGTAGGGATGCAAATGAGGGATGTGGATGGTTCCTTAGGGTACTTCACTTGTGTTAGGGGAACAAATTCTGGTGGTTTTTTTTTGCAAGCGTACTAGGTACTCCTGGTACATCATGTTCCAATCACTGGTAATGTAAACGATTCAATTGGTTTATTAATGCATTGGTATTTATTTGTTGTATTTCTTGTTAAAACATCTCGCAGTGGTACACTTATCGTTCATGAACTGAACCATTGGTCAGTTATCTTCATGTGTTGAAAATACAAGTGTTTACATGAATAGGTTCCTATGATAGTATACCATATGATTCGCAGAGTGCCACTTTAATGAGGGTGGTACATTTTCAACATATCTAGGGTTTCAAGGACGTTTTCATCTGATCGAGGGTACCACTAAGACAATTAGGGTACCACTATAGTCAGGGTGGTACATATGACCATATAAAACGAACCACTGCAAAGGAAAAGGCATGTTTCTTGTTCAGGGTGGTACAAAACCTTCATAGGAGGACATTGTTTAATCACAATTTTGGTATCACCAATATCCTTCTCATTAGGTTTCACTAATATCTTTGGTCACAAATAACTAATTACTAGAGTTGACCTCATTAACCAATTCATAATCTATCAATGATTTGTTAATCACAACCTTTGGGACACTTATGTTGATAGTAGGACACTGTAGAACATTATTTAATGACATTTTGTTGCTTTACTAATATTTTGTTAATAAGACCTGCATGTATGAATACTACGCTTTACCTGGCTAACTAATTCGTAATCTTTTAATGATTTCGTAATGACAACCCTTACGTGTACCTAAAATTTGTAATCACAACCTTTGGGATATTCACCTCATTAATGAATTCAATTACCTTTTAATACAATATATATGTCTATCTGCTGTAATTCGTTGTTTGAGTCATTCAGCTGTTGCTTGGTTTGTTCAAGTCCTTACTTGTTATCGATTGTTAAATATATATGAGGCTTAATATATATGCTGCCTTTGTATTTTGCAACTCAGTTGCACTTTCCAAACTCTTTAACCCTTCGTCTACCACCATAGTAGAGAAGTACTGTTACTTCAGTAACGTCAATTAGAAAAATTAAAACAATTAAAATTTATTCTTTTTTTTATATTATAATTAATAAAAGTCATAAATAATAAGAAAGAAGCCTTACAAATCCAAACTGAAGAAGAGCTTCAAGATGTTCATTCTTCACGCACTTCATGAAGAATGTGTTTGCCTCTTCTTGGTGTAGCCACATTCGTGTTTCAATCCAAGGGAAGAGAATTTGTTGAAGGACCCTTTTTTCTTCGGATATCCTTCGGAGGATCATGCAACTTTTATCATTTCAAACGCCAGAAATTACATTATTAAAATCTCTGTGTATAGGTAAATGGAAAACAGAGTACAAAATATAAATAAAATGAAAGGAAACGCAAGATAGAAGGTCGATAACACTTCCGACGGCAGAATGTCAACCATGGAAGTTGAAATTTTTTGCCTCTTGGCTACTACATCCATGTTTATATTTGCATTTTTGTGGAATCTGGAACTCTGTTTTTTGAAGTAGAAGGAAGTGAGTTACTTTTAACTCTTTGTTTATCTTTGAAAATGTTTGAGATAAGTAACTTACTCTGTGAATCGCCTTATATATGGAGGAGTGTAAAATGACGGTTCAAATTCTGGATGAGTGGATGTAGTGGGGGAGATGTAATGATGACGGTTAATCAAGATCCCAAGACGGTTGATCTATCTTCTGCAAAAATGATGATTTACTGGGGGAGATTAAAGATATTAGGCACTCTAAATCTGGGGAACTGCAATTTTAGTGACCCGTCATTTCAATATGTCATTTAAACGCATGCAAATAATAATTAATGGTACATGTCATGAACAATAAGTGTACCACTGGAATATGTTTGGGCTTCTTTGTGTGATTTTATGTTGGTACTTGTAAGTCAAGTGTACTTTATACTAATTACAATTTTAGGTATGGGATAATATAATTGAATAATGTGCTAATTCAAATAACTTAAATTTAGTATAATACATCAAGTAAGCTTCAAGTTCCAAATGCAATACATCTACACGTTATCGATTGTTAAATGATTTAGGATATGTAGGGTTTCAAGGTCGGAGTAGACGTTGTCATCTGATCGAGGGTATCACTAAGGCAAATAGGGTAACACTGTAGTCAGGGTGGTACAAATAACCTTATAAAAAGAACCACTGAAAAAGAAAAGGCATGTTTCTTGTTTAGGGTGGTACAAAACCTTCATAGGAGGACATTGTTTAATCACAATTTTGGTTTCACTAATATCCTTCTTATTAGGTTTCACTAATATCTTTGATCACAAATAACTAATTACTAGAGTTGACCTCATTAACCAATTCATAATCTGTCAATGATTTGTTAATCACAACCTTTGGGACACTTACGTTGGTAGTAGGACACTATAGAACATTATTTAATGACATTTTGTTGCTTTACTAATAGTTTGTTAATAAGACCTACATTTATGAATACTAGAGTTTACCTCATTAACTAATCCGTAATCTTTTAATGATGTCGTAATCATAACCCCTATATGTACCTTAAGTTCGTAATCACAACCTTTGGATATTTACCTCATCAACTAATTCAGTTACTTTGTAATACAATATATACGTCCATCTGCTTTAATTCGTTCTTTGAGTCATTCAGTTGTTGCTTGGTTCGTTCATGTCCTTACTCGTTATCGATTGTTAAATGATTTAGGATATGTAGGGTTTCAAGGTCAGAGTACACGTTGTCATTTGATCGAGGGTATCACTAAGACAATTAGGGTACCATTGTAGTCAGGGTGGTACAAATGACCTTATAAAAAGAACCACTGAAAAGGAAAAAGCATGTTTCTTGTTCAGGCTGGTACAAAACCTTCATAGGTGGGCATTGTTTAATCACAATTTTGTGATATCACTAATATTCTTCTTCGTAGGTTTCACTAATATCTTTGGTAAAAATAACTAATTACTAGAGTTGACCTCATTAACTAATTCGTAATCTTTTAATGATTTGTTAATCACAACCTTTGGGAGATTTACGTTGATAGAAGTACATTGTAGGACATTATTTAATGACAATCTTTGGTTTCACTAATATTTTGTTAATAAGACTACATGTATGAATACTATAGGTTACCTTAGTAACTAGTTCGTAATCTTTTAATGATTTTGTAAGCACAACCCTTACATGTACCTGAAATTCGTAATCACAACCTCTGGGATATTTACGTCATTAACGAATTCATTACTTGTTTGAGTCATTCAGTTGTTGCTTGGTTCGATCATGGCCTTATTTGTTATAGATTGCTAAATGATTTAACCAATTACACCCTGTAATTAACAGTGCTTTTATTATGTAGTCCTCCTTAGGAAATTGGACTTAACACTTAATTCATTAACCTAATGACAATGAAATTTGTAAAGGCCTTAGTATAGTGGTACCTTTTCATGTGTGATTGTATCATTGACACAGAGTGGTACATTTTATGGAGCATAGGGTACCATTTATATGGTCACAAGCAAGGGTATCATTGCACTGTACGCCATAAACTGGTCGTCTTTACAAATTCACACTTTATATAAAATGGGGCCCATGGTGGAAAACTGGCTCCTAAACACAATAAGTTTTCCGCTCTTTGTGGTTTCACCATCAAACACTTCACTCCACTATATATTCTTGTGTTTGGAGTGAAAACAGTCATTTGTCTAAAAATGTGTCCCTCCTTCTCAAACACTTTCTTCACAAATTACTTACAATGTCAACCATGTCCTCTACATCGTCAGGAAGTCGAACAATTCGCCGGCCGTTTGTATCTGCGGACATCTCGTGGATATCAGCCAAAACTTGCAACTATTTGGGAGATGACTCAACCCTCGTGGAATTTTGAATCTCAATGTCGGAGAAGAATCCAAAGCAGCCATACTACAAATGTCGTCATTGTGGGTACTGGGAGTGGGCTGTTCAGTCGGACCTCATTAAGGATGGTCCACCAACCAACATTGGCGGTGTTGTTCGACGGGTAGAGGTGTTAGAGCACCATCACATAAAGACCGTAAAATTTGGGCTAACTATTTTTGTAATTGCCGTTTTCGTTTATTATAAATTGTAATTGCCGTTTTTGTTCAACTGTGGTTAGTAGTAGCGTAGTTCATTAATAGTTATCAAAACATTGTTTGCGCTCTTGTATGCTAAAATTCTATATGCAGATCTATGTAGTTCAACTAGTTCAATTTCATGTGAAAACAACACATATGCACTGGTAATAAACACAAAAGTCTATGTACCACTGTGAACAAAATACAATAGTGCATATGGGTCACCATAATCAGGCTCATAACCATCCCAAAAGTCACCGAAATCAGGATTGGACTTGTTCTCAAACC